CTTTAAACACCTCGCTTTCCTGGCTAGTTCCTGCTTAATTTTTCATGAGATCAGCATGTATTTTTGTAGCTTTCTCGCAAATAATTGCTTCTGATACGGTGTCTCTAGCACACTGTTTTTCAGTTATCCAAAGCAAAAGCAATTTCTCAACATGATTTAATGTCTTCGATCTCTGTTTAGAAATTGATTTAACCCCTTTCACAACGTTAGCAGATTTAATAATGTCTTTATTTTTCACGATTGTCAATATCGTCGTTCTCGGAATACGGTATGCAACAGTTAAAATCTCGAACACGCGTGCCACCTTCATATTTCTCAACAATCTCTTTTTTCAGTTGTGATTCTAGTCATTTTTTATTTTCTGTTGCTTTTCATTTGCCTTCTTGCAATTTATGATTAATAATAAACTTTTACTTACAATTAAAATCAGAAGAAATATCTAACAAAGTTCTAAACTGTGGCACCGCGAATGTCTAGTACACCGACAGTTGTTCATAGATGGCGCGTATAATTAAGTCGCATACCGAACAAAAGTCGTATACCGAGCAAAATTTGTTTTGTCCAAACAGGACGTATTCCGAATTTGACGTATTCTAAAGCAGACGTATACCGAGGTTCCACTGTATTTGAAATAAATTAAACTTTTTAAAATTATTGTAGTTATTTGACAACAGATGGAAGCACGTGTCAGTCAATATTAGCATAATTTATTCTAAATAGAAAACACACTTTTACGTCATCTTGACGTAACTGTCTTCTCTTTTTCTAATGACGAAGCGTAAAATGGCGTCAGATTGACATAATACCTCTTACGAATTTAAATAAATAAGTTAATAAATAATGGAAAAAAAGCATCATCTATTATCTAAAGCAGTTTAAAATCCTATAAATAATTGTAGGCGCACTATATAGAAATTTCTGAGAAATATGTTATAAGAATTAAGTCAAATATTAAAGAAAAAATGTATATAAATTCCAAGCTCGCTTTTATGGTAATTAAACGAAATAAATACGACAAAATTAAATGTATTCTGACATTAAAAATCATTTTTATGTGACATATTTTTGAGTTATGCTTCTTGGAATTCGTAAAAAAGAGGGGTTAAAAAGTTAAAAAAAACGACAAAAAAGTTATCTTTTTATGTATATAAATACATTCTTAGTAAGATTTAATAAATTCGGCAGGTCCCGGCTCGAATGTGTTAAGTTTTTTTCATTCTTGTGTTTATGAGGAACACGTGCCTGATGTGTTCTATCGATTTATTCAATGTTTGGGCATATATTTGAATGACAAACTCTCATTCCTCGTCAATACATTGAAGAATTCCTCTCTTTTTACTCTTAATTGTATTTAGGGTAGAAAATCCTAATAAATAGGATATTGAAAATTGTAGTAAAATGTTCAAAGCTTTTTTAGATATTGCCACATATTCTTCTTTTATAGAAATCCAATAAGCTTCAAGAGACAATTCCTTATGTTTTATCATCAATCCACGATCACTGGATATAGCTACCAGTTCTTCTTCTGTTAATAAAGAGATTGCGGCCGAAGTTTTCACGTTGAGCGCCGCCATCTTGTAAGCCTAGAAGTTTGACGACGGCGTTTGGAACGTCGGGCATGATTACACTGACGTTCCAAACGCCAACGTCAAACTTCTAGGCTTACAAGATGGCGGCGCTCGACGTCCGACGTTCACGTTTTCGTGTTGAAAACTTCGGCCGCAACCTCGCTAGTATTCAAAATTTCGGTATCAGAAGACATTTCTACGTTACAAGTAAGGAAAGAGCATGAATAATTTATAGTTTTGAATGATTTTTTTTTATCTCGATGAATCTAAACTTTATAAAAATTGTATGAGGTCTATATCGAGAAATGATTAATTTGATATCTAATCAGCTCAAAACTAGAAATGGAAGGGGGAATAACATATTTGGTATTCGTGTTTAGATTACAAAAAATTATCGACCTAATTAAGTTTATTATAGTTTATAAGAAGGAAAATAATTTACACATTCGTAAAAATACGAGTAAGTAAAGTTCACTCTCACACTAGAGTGGAGCGTGGTGTTTAATTCCACGTGGAGCGCCTGACTGGGCGTTGCTCTTGGGCACCCTACTAAAAAGCCTTATAATCGTACCCATCCATCAGATCCACAATGGGAGTGGCTCGAGAAATTTTTGGGGGTTTTTTAACCAACCGTATTAGAAGCGGTAGGCTGACGCTTCTGAACCATTCTACCACCCCTTTTCGGATTTATAATTCAAAGTATAACTTTATATAGACCATTCGATAGCCTGTATGAAATAATAAACTTGATACGCGATTTAATATTGTTTTTACCTGTATACGCCTTCCTTATAAATATTTAGAAACAATTCGAAATTTTATGGAACATTCTTAAAAAGGAGACACGATATTAAAAGTGTCGTTACATCTTGTCGTTTTTTTTCACACTTCAGAAAATAAGTCTCATGGCAGAGTCGATCTTTCTTTAGAGGTTTCTCGTCCCTCTTTAGAAGTATACTTATTTTCCCGGCTATTTTATTAAATATNTGACTGGGACAAGAGCATGTGTGCACAAGGATAGCAAAATAAATTATTCGTGCACCTGAGAATAAGTACGCGAATGATTTTATTTGAGGAGTGACGAAAAATCGGAAACAGATGTCTCGTATCTGTGTCCATTCGTAGCGACTTCTAGGCATACGTTGGCTTTACGTCTACATCTTACATGCTCACGCCAAGTGCACTTAAGGTGGCAAGTTACCGAAAATCTGGGATCAAATTCGGACGGGTCGCAAAACCCAGGAATTTAGCCTCTTCTCTCATCACTCTGCCTCCCATTGTGGACTTAGCCGAACCCATAATGGGCTTACTAAAAATGCTCTCTTAGTGCCCACAGGACGTTGTAGTTTGTATATCTGTATAAAGCATGCAAATTTATTAACTTAAATTCTTTTATTTACTTGAAATAAAATAATGCTTTTTTTATTTTGAATTTAATAATAATACATTTGAATTGGTCGTTTATTTTTTTATTTTAGTCTGCACAAATAATTAAAATAAGAAATTTTTCTTGTCAGCATTGACAATACAAAAGAAAACTTACGCTGTTTGATGTTCAATAGACAATTTTTTTTAATATTGCAATTTATTTTCCTTTCCATTCATTGAATAATAATGTAAATTATTCGAAAATTGTTATTTTAAATGTAAAGTAATTTAATGAATCTAGTCGTGCAAGACGACAAGGAAAATATATTTAAAAATCAACTGAAATTAGTTATTAAAACTTTTAATCATTGTTAGGAAGCGAAATTTTTTAAAATTTAATAATTTTAAATTTATTTTAAACCCTTAAAACCCTCTTACTGCCTCTTGTCTACTAGTGCTGCCTTGCCTTTTAGCACCCACTTTTGGAATCACCAGTTTAAATTATAAGATATATATTTTTAATTGTAATGTCGCCAGAGGGATGTTTATAGATTTTTCCTTATTAAAGCTAGGGATGCACAGAATTTTATCGGTTTTTCGACACACCATTTTGGAAACATCGATGGCACTAAACAATCAGTTCGATGCCACTCGATATATCGATATTCCATAAATTTATTTGAAAGAATAGTGAAGCAGAGTTTTTTTGTTCGAAAAATTTCATTAGATGTGAGACAAATTATTCTGATTAAAATTAACTAGCCTTTGCCTCTAGGGAGGTTTTTCTATGAAAAATTGGCTCCTATTTAGGTGTTACAAATGAGAAGAAAATTCGGAAAACTTTACGTGGCCAGCCCGTTGGCCACGTGAAGTTTTCCGGATTTTCTTCTCATTTGTAACACCTAAATAGGAACCAATGCCAGACGCGAACCCATGACCAACTTCCAGTATTCAGTGGTTCTATCTACTCGGCCACTGTCGCTTTGTGTATTGCTGAGCGTGCGCTTCAAAACCATTGATGGTTTCGTGCAATTATTAACTATGGATCAGCGATAAATCAATGGTTACGTATGGTCTTAGTCTAGATTTTTTCTTTTTTTCTTTGTTCCTTTTCTTTTCTTTCTGTTTTTCCCCCTTCCTATGAACACTAAGAGGATTTTTATACTATTCGTACCATCATGGATTCGTCCAGATCCACAATAAGGTAGTCGGGTTTTCTAACGAAAACTTCAAATACGTATTAATAGCATAAAAACAATTAATTAATAATGTTCAATAATTGATAATTCACAAAACTTACATTAATTAGATTTATTCTATTATCTTCCAGAATAGTTATTGTGTATCTAATGCTGGGTATCAATCAATTTTTATCACAATGCTACTTCGCAATGTCTCGATTTCTGATTTTATACTTATGGCAACCCTAGTTTTAGCGTTACAGGGAGGAGAAAGGCAGTTTGTCTTTGTAATTATTATCATTTATATTTACAATGCATAAATAATTTCGCAACTCACACTTAATAAATTAGAGTAATATTATAATTATCTAACTCTTAAAAAACAACTTTCATTTATATATATATATATACACATAAAGGAAAGTTTGTTGAGTTTAATATTTTTTTCAAGTATTAATTATATATCTATATCACTACATAGAAGTGTTTTTAGGTGAATTATTGTACTAAACTGAAATTACTCATAACACGTTTCGTTGAACACATTTCATGAAAACATAAAGTAGCTTTCCTCTATTCTAGTTTTGGAGTTTGAATAGAAAGTATTAAAAAGTATTAAGGCTCTGAAGTATTTAGTTTATGAAAATGAAGTCCTTTATATTTATTATACTGTTAAAAGTGACGATGTGTTTATCTATTGAAAGTGAAAATTTCGGACATGTCGATTATATTATAGGTATGTTAGCAATATTTTTAATTCTATTTGAATTTAAAGATGTTTAGAAAACACTTTCATTGTTTTATTATTTACTTATCTATTAGAAATTCACATGGCACATGGTCTTAAGGTTTTTTTATAGGTTTTATATAAGAGATAAAAAATGTTTATTAATATGATAAATTAAAGTATTATGATTGTGAATATGTACTTTGTAAATTACATTATTTTCGTTTCGGTTCTTTAAATATAATGAAATTTTATAAGCAAGAAATACTAATAAGATTTTACTTCTAAGCTTAATATGGCTTGTTTTTTTTTATTTTTAAATTTTATTTACAGTTGGTTCCGGATCAGGAGGATCAGTTTTAGCCAATAAATTATCAAAGAATCCTTCTATAAAGGTTTTAGTTTTAGAAGCTGGAGAACCACCCCCTTTAGGTTCAGAAGTTCCCTTTATTCATCTTTCCCTTCTTTCTACAAAATTCAATTGGAATTTTAGTTCTGTGCCCGATCATAGAATTGCTCATGTATTGAAAGATAGAGTATGATTTATTTATCTATTATTTATTTATTTATTGATACAGTACTTAAATAAGAAACACTATACTATAAGCTAATATTAACTTTTAATTTTGGCTTTTAATAATAACTCCTGTATTACTTAGCTTATTTATAGTATGTAGTTACATCAGTAGGCTTAAATACTGTAAATAGTACAGTTAGTAGAAAGTAATGTTAATTATATTTAATCATTAATTAAACGCAATTAACATTATTTTCTATAAAGGTGACCACCGTAACTGGATCAACCCCTTTACCTATTCCCTCAGGTATAGAATAAATAAGAATCATTATCCAACGATACTCAATATGAACTTTTTAATTATTGAATTTTATTTAAATGTAGATATAAAAACCTCCAAAATATATATTCTTTTATACAAATATATAGAAGGAGACCATTCTACATCCGGATTCTGTTTTGTTTACTATCATTTGTTATGAATTAAGACCACAGAGAACAAATTTATTGTTCTGTTCATTGCCCAATTCTTAAAGCTACCATTGCTTATAAAGAAATGAATATTTCTAGACAGAAATTTATTATTTAAACTTTATATTCTGTAATTGTACCGATGTATTATTAGATAAGACGACTTTACATAGTGAATGTAAACTCTTATCTATAAAAATTGTTAATATGGGTCATTTACAAGATGACAGTTTATATATGACAAGTTTCTTTTTATGAGGGATTATTTTGTAATTAATTCAACTTTTTCCTATAATGTCGTTCAGTCCAAAGACATAATAATAATGCCATTAATTAATACTTAATTAATGGAATTAAATTAAATGATAATAAATATTAATTAATAGAATAATAAATGTAATTAAAATTTAATAAATAATTATTATTCGTAGTTTATTATTTTACATATTTATTTATTTTTTTACTTTTATTATTATAATGTTTAGTAGATGCATTTTTAATTTATTTTTGATGGATATTATTGGCTTATGTTTATTTTAGAAATTCGGTGTAAGTTCGGGTAAAGTTTTGGGTGGAACGTCTATGTTAAATCATAATCTATTTCTACGTGGAAATAAATACGATTACGACGATTGGGCCAAAAATGGAGCAACAGGATGGGATTGGAATAGCGTATTTCCATATTTTCTTCGAATAGAAAATAATCGAAATCCTGGAATTGTTGCTAATGGTAAGTTTATTATCGAATTTGTTCTATACTTTCTCAATTGATTACGTGTTATGATTAAAACTCTCTACGAATATTAATATCTCACATAGGTTACCATGGAGTTGGTGGAGCGTTGTATGTTCAGTTTCCTTCTTTTCATACACCAATAACACAAGGTTATATAGAAGCAGCTGAAGCTACTGGATATCCTTTTGGCGACGTTAATGCTTTACCTCAAACTGGTATTCAATTTTAACAAATTAAATTATGTTACAAGTTTAAATATACACAATAAATCTATAAAATATATAAAATTTGGTAAAGTAACTAAAAAAATTTTCTTATATTTTTAGTTTTTCTAACACCCCAAGGGACATTTAAAGATGGGAGAAGATGGACAACTTTACGTGGTTATTTGGAACCTGTAATGGGGAGAAGAAATCTTCGAATTGTTACGTCTTCTCTTGTTACTAAAGTAATTTATGATTTGTTTTATAAAATGATATTTATTTTATTTGAATAAACAAAATGTAATTACTTTTTCTAATTTTATAGATACGAATTAATAAAGATAAACGTGCATACGGTGTCATTTTTGAAAATAATGGAAATATTTATAAAGTCTTCGCTAATCAAGAAGTGATTGTTTGCGCTGGAACATTTAATTCTCCAAAATTATTACAATTATCAGGTATCGGGAGAAAGAAACTTCTGAAAAAATTTAATGTAAGTAATTTTGTATACTTAAACGTTCTGTAATAAAATTACCTCTTCAACCCCTATTTATGTTTTATTGTAATACTAATTTAAGAATTTGTATCCTTTGAAAAGTTGAAAAATTTCTTTTAAAGATACCTATAATATCAGATCTTCCTGTGGGAGAAAATTTATTAAATCACGTATCAACCGCTGGTCTTCAATTCAGTGTCGACACTTACACATTCAACGAGAAACGTATAACTAAAGATAATTTTATTGAATTCGCAATCAACGGAACAGGTAATCTCATTCATTTTATATTTTCTTACGTAAAATAATAGATGTTTATTTGTTATTCTAGGTCCATTATCGTCTCCGGGTGGTGTAGAAGCAGTCGGTTATGTAAATTCAAAGTACAACGAAAACTTAAATTGGCCAGATCTTGAAATTTATTTGGTTTCAAGAACTCCTTCTTCAGATTCAACAATAAGAAAACTTTCAGGAGTTATTAAAAAGGTAAATTTTAGACAAATAAAATTAATTGTTTTGCTTAAAATCCTTCAAGAATCTCTGAAATATTAAACCATAGATTTATCAGATAGTATATAAATGCATTTATATATAGTTGTCTATTATATAATTATTTCTAACAATCTTACAGTTGGAGAAAATTTACGAACAGTTTCAATCTTTAGACACTTATATGTGTCTGCCTGTTCCTAGTCGTTCAAAAAGTCAAGGAAAAGTATTTATAAGATCAACAAATCCACACGATAAACCAGTAATAGATCTGAACTATTATTCGAATCCATATGATTTAAAGCTTATGGTAGAAGGTAATTTAAGTATTTTTATAAAAATATTAAATATTCAATTAGAGGAGGCCCTACAGACGAGAAAGAAAACGTCTAGGGGTCTGGCAAACTCGAAAGTATAGAGAATTTCAGAGTGATCTTTTTTAGGGATTAACAGATTTATTTCGTGTTTTAGGTCTTAAGTTTTGTTTGAAGATGGCATCAACAAAGGCATTAAAAAGATTCGGTAGCAAACCTCTTTCTTATACTATGCCAGGATGCGAACAATATGAAAAATTTAGTGAAAAGTATTTAGAATGCATGGCAATTGTATTTCCTTTTCATTTGCATCATTTTGCTGGAACGTGCAAGATGGGTGCATTGAAAGATCCTACAACGGTAGTTGATCCATTTCTCAAGTGAGTTTTGGTATTTAATAAACATGCCAATTTATTCTAACTTAATTTGTTTCTAATCTATCTTGATTAAAATAAACCACGTATTTCCTTTTCTTAATAGAGTTAAAGGCGTACATAGATTAAGGGTGGTCGATGCCTCCGTTATACCTTCTGAAATAGGAGGACATACCAACGTACCGACCATGATGATAGCCGAGAAAGCATCAGATATCATTCTACAGGATTACTGGAAAAGAAAATATCGAAATAAAACATATAAAATTTATTATAAATAACTTAATACATTCATATAATATATTAATATTACAAAAATTCGGTTATGTGTAAGAAAAACTTTTAACTAATTTGTTCTGTATAATTAAACATTATTTTTTTAAACAATAAATTTGTTTATTCTGAATTATCATTTTTATATATTAAAATTACCATATAAAATAATAAGCTATGTACTGTAATTTCTTTATTCATATAATTTATTTTTTTATTTAGCTTATAAATTATACAAAACATACATAAATTATATTACAGAAATTAAATTAAAATTTCGTTATGAAAGGTGAAGAGGGTGGATAATTAAGCTTTTTATAATAATTTAAAATATAAAAATACCTTCGTAACAAAATCTCATAACAGATGGCGCCACACGCAATTTTTTTTATATTGTAAAATAGAAATTAGGTTTAATTTTATTAATGTTTTCCCTTGTATTAGAATAATTATACTGTCAAATGACAAAACAATTTGAGATTTTCTTAAAGCCTTTTTTATTTTATTAAAAGGCACAATACTTTTTTAAAATATAATTAATATTTTAAAATTAATCATACATATGTACAGTACATATGTATTTTGATTCAGAGGGAAAATAAATACAAACTACAGTTAAATTCACATCTGAATGAGTAATTCTGTATTATTCATCAAGGCACAGATGTTTTAATTGTAGAATCCCTGTTTTTTTCAATACGGTTAGTATTTTTTTAAAAAAAATTACTTTATTATTTATTCTCTTTCTAGAAGGCAGGCATGAAAAAAAAATTAATTTGAAGAATGTAGAATTTTTATAGAAGAAATTCATTTAAAATTTGATGATGTCTGAATCCGTAAAAATTATTAAAGACGCAAGTACAATAAGAAAATTATTTAGATTAATGGTTTTTGTATTATGTTTGGTTGGATTTGTTTGCCAGTTTTATTACTTTCTTATGTTTTATTTGTCTTATCCGACAAGTTTAGAAATATTTATAAAACATGCACATGTCGAAGATCTTCCCAAACCCGTGGTCACTGTTTGCGATCATAACATGTAAGTAATACGAGTGTAATTGTATAATTCAGATGTAAAATATTTATTATAATATAGATTGAAACTATCTACATTACAGATTGGTTTAAACCGAATATTATATTCAAAATTAATTAAAAAATTCAGTTAGAATACAATTGGTTACCTACAATTAAACAAAACAAAGTTGTAATGTGGTGAATATTTTATTGTAAATATGCTCTGTAATTAATTAACACGTATTATTCACATATAGAAATTTTACTGTTCTCCAAAGCAATTCTATACTATATTTAAAGACCTAAATAGAGAGAACAAAAAGCAATCGAGTACTATAGAAAAAAGTGTAATTAGTGGGATAGGATACTGATAAGTTATTATTATTAATATGTGACACAATTAGTCTAACAAAATCTCTAATTCAGCAAGACTTTGAAACCAAGAGTATCGGGAAATGTTTGGTACCCAGTCGACCCCCCTATAACACTGTTGACTTTTCCGTTTTATATGAATTCTATGTTGTACGAGTCACTTAGATTTTACAAATACGTGAGCCGTTCACAGCCCGGCACATGTATTTGTAAAATCTAAGTGACTCCTACAACATGGAATTCATATAAAACGGAAAAGTCAACAGTGTTATAGAGGGGTCGACTATAAACCTGTATTATACGCGAAAAACACATTTTTAATTGAAATTTAAAATGAATAAATCAATTTAAAATCGCTTATTTTTTACAACAGTTTACGTCGAAGAGATTATTGCAAAGATTTTCCAAGTGTGTGTGAAAGACCTAAAAATATCAAAAAATTCTGCATTAAATATCCATATCCATGCCTATTTCACCTACGTAAAGGTCTAAACGATGTGTTGGTAAGAAATATAATAATTTCAAAATATTTAAAGCTATAATTGGTATAGGGTAAACCGGGGTTAGATGAAGAACATTCGGTTTATATTGTAATTAGTTAAGTGTTCATCATCTAATCTTGATTTACCCTATTTTAGAAAGGTATTCTAAGCTTTAAGCGTGGTCTTACTGTATATATTTACATACCATTATACATAATAAAAAGATATATTCTAGATTCCTGATGAATCTGCAATAATACTTAGTTCTTTTAATCGAAGCTTAGTGGAGAAATACGGAATGAAAGTAGATGATGTTCTCATGTTATATCGGTGAGTAAGAATAAAAGTAGTCGTCATATTTATATTTTTATACGTTGCGAATGATATAAAGAAACAAGATAACCTGAAAAATTAATATATGCGCATTTAACATAAATTAAATTAGTCGAATCTATTGAGAGAATGCGACCTTTTAAATACAATAATACTAAGTATAATGTAGCACTAATATCCATTCGATGGCAGGTGACCAAGGCGGTAAAGGTACCAAAAATGATTGGTTTAGGATACATAAGTGGTATCTGATGGAAAATCTCATCAGATTTTATATAGGTTTTCTTTCATATTGTAAGATAAGAAGTCGAATCGAGCATTATTGTCCAGTCATGGCTTCGGTACGGGAGAAAGCGCAGGTTGTGGTCTTGTATGCCCGATAATGTGACCGCCAAGATCTTCCGATCTGGATTTCTTTCTGTGGAGTTACCTGAAAGATATGGTTTATGCAACTTCGGTCAAAGACCTTCAGCATGTTCGGAAGCGCATCATCGCAACCATGCAACCATCGCCACTGTGAGACGGGATATTGCAGCGTATATAGTAGGAAATCGCTTACCGCCTTGGTGTTGTCGCTGTGACTACCGCAAGGCATAATATATGTTGTAAACATAATTCTATATTTTATAGATTTATTTGTTGATTATTTTTTTCAGAAATAATACCAGCGAGTTAATTCTAACAAACGAAAACAACGAATTGGTAAAGTGTTACTCTCTTGATCTAGAAAATTTTATTCAAAGACGTTTTAAACAGAAATTTTATGATTCTGTTAAAATTCTAGGTACGAATCACAATAAATAAGATAGAGACATTGTTTATATCTAGCGTTAAATAATTGAATAAAAATTGTTTTATTATATTTCAGGTAGTTATAAAGTTGCAGATGTTTTAATAAATTTCAATCTGGTGGATTTAGTATATCCTTATCGACCCGGAATTAAAATGGCTGTTCATTCGAAAGATAAGTTGATAAACCCATTTATCGATGGATTTCTAGTGATACCAGGAAGAAAATATATTGTACAATTAAAACCTGTATGTAATTATTGACAAAATGAATAATGTTTTATAACGTGTAAATATATAGACGTTTATTTCAGAGGAAAAATATTTTGCTTAAGCATCCTTTCAATACGAATTGTACGGATTACAACGTAAGAAAGGATTCGCCATTTAATGAAACATATAATCAAGATGTAAGTGAAATTTATATTATAAAATAGTAATAGAATTGCTCATGTATTGAAAGATAGAGTATGATTTATTTATTTATTATTTATTTATTTATTGATACAGTACTTAAATAAGAAACACTATACTATAAGCTAATATTAACTTTTAATTTTGGCTTTCAACAATAACTCCTGTATTACTTAGCTTATTTATAGTATGTAGTTACATCAGTAGGCTTAAATACTGTAAATAGTACAGTTAGTAGAAAGTAATGTTAATTATATTTAATCATTAATTAAACGCAATTAACATTATTTTCTATAAAGGTGACCACCGTAACTGGATCAACCCCTTTACCTATTCCCTCAGGTATAGAATAAATAAGAATCATTATCCAACGATACTCAATATGAACTTTTTAATTATTGAATTTTATTTAAATGTAGATATAAAAACCTCCAAAATATATATTCTTTTATACAAATATATAGAAGGAGACCATTCTACATCCGGATTCTGTTTTGTTTACTATCATTTGTTATGAATTAAGACCACTGAGAACAAATTTATTGTTCTGTTCNATTAAAATTTATATTTTAATTTAAAACGAATTATTGTTTATAAAAGAAAGACTTCTGCTGAAGTGAGTTTTATTTTGAAAAGACCAGAGCTATTAATACACGAATATAAACCACGTTTACAGGTAAGAATATATTAATTATTTAATAATTTCAGTAGATAAATATTAAAATATAATATTATAATTTCCAGTTAATAGAAATATTCAGTTTTGCTGGTGGATACAGTGGAATATGGCTAGGAATATCTCTTTTTTCAATTATGGACTATTTAGAATGGTTAATTATATATATTTATACTAAAAAACAGGAAAAAAAATTAAATTCTAAATGTCAGAACAACGTTTTAACAATACAAGATAAAATGCGCTATTAAATATTATACACTTATACAAGATTTTAAGGGAACAGAATCGATATACTTTTTGCCTGTATGTTAGCAAGTACAGGCATAAAAGAATCTTAAAGTTATTGTATATATATATATATATATATATATTATATACAATACTTTGAGAGTGTGATCTAGAGGTGTGGGAGATCAATTCTTCATTCATGAGAAAAATTCTAAGAGACAAATGTGTAATTATTTTGTAATTAAATATCAATTATAAAAATGAATTTCAGTTTTTCAAAATAATCTTTTTCATATATTTTCATGTTCGTTCTGTATAAAAAATTAAAAAAACATCTTGCAAATTAAATGCATAAATTAAGATTGTAGTTATAAACATTAAGAGGAAAAAGCATATCTTCTATTGTGATGTGTATATTAGTGAGAGAGATTTATAAACCTTTCCTCAAAAATGGATCGTCATTTAGGTCAAAGTTCACGGACTAACACTTCTGAGAAATACATTTACAACTCTATACAGGAAAAAATGCTATTACTACGATACTATTGTATATCCTGTTTTTACGTACAGTACTTTAATGTAAATAATTATTCAACAGAAATATTATTTAATTCCGGGATAATAGGAAAACTGGTTGAACATAAGTGAACACTTCTTACACTTTACACGATTGTATATATGGAAAGAAATGGTAAGTGTGAAGTTTACTACTTTCTATTAATCTATATATTCATATTCTTATTCTGTATAAAGTTTGCAAATATATATGGGAAAATATATTTCTATGGATATATAGGCCTATGTATACATATTTCTTACTTTCAAAGAGAAACTTGAGAAATGTGTACCAATGGTAACTAACTAACCGAATTATTTAAAGTTGTATACAGTTTAACGAATAACAAAAGTTTAATAATTAACATAAAAATAGGTTTACGTACAGAGTAACATATCTCTAGAACCATAAATAACTTATTAACGAATTAATTATACTTCTAAACTACCTAGAGAGAGTTTACATAAGTCTATACCTGATACCTCTTAAACGGTTCGATGTCTTCTCGTATACTGGTATAGTTTTGCTGGAAACTATTCTCAGAAGAGACAGGAGAGAGTTGGGAAACGATTCGACAGACGAGATCTGGGAGTAGACGGAAGCTTTGGTCTTGATCTTCTTGGAGAGTATCCGCTCTAAAACTCGGGTTCCTGCCCCTTTTATTCTCTAATCTCCTCCTCCAATTGGGGAGATTAGAGAAGACACAGCTGCAGCTGCTTCACAATGCAGCTGTGTCTTCTACGTGTGAGGTATGATTTTTCAACAGGAAGAGGATATATAAACACGGAAGTATTATTCCCTTTTATCACTCTCTCACGAGAATATAAACTCGCGCAATCTATTCTCTCCCATGTATTGTATTAATTTAATAAAAATAACGTCTCACGTCTCCAGATTCTTATATCTATTTCTTCATTACTAATTTATTTCAGAGGTAAAATTATCATAATGTTATTATACGGATTTAATTAATATTTATTATAGTAATTAATTTTATCTATAGTAATAATCAAATCTCTTGAGAGTAATTTAGAATATAAAAGCACTCTATATTATTACTCGTCCGGTTGAGATGTTATCATTTAAAATGCAAATCATATAATGTAGTAATTTTCCTCGTTCTTTGTTAACTGACATTCGTTTACTGACCTTTGCACTAAAACAAGGTAAGAATTTAAAAGAAAAACAATACATTTCTATTTATTTTTATTAAAATTTTTACTAATTAATTTTGTATCAATAATTCTAATTTATTACTTTGGCCATAGACATGGAAGATCATTCTACAATAGAAGAAAGTGGACCAATTCGTAGGAAGAAAAGAGTGGCTTTCTTAAAGCTATTGGAACAAGTTCAAATCACAGGAGTACCTCAAATTGTCACAACAAAAGACAGAAAGAGCAAGACTTATAAATTATTGGTCTTTGTTTCGTGTCTTACAGGTTTCATCATTCAATTAACATTATTTATGCTAAAATATTTAGAATATCCCACCAGTTTAGAAGTATATGTTAAACAGATAGATATTAAAGACCTTCCAAAGCCCATGCTTACAGTTTGTGATTTGAATGGGTAAGTCTATTTAATGTATATTATTTAATTTATTGATTATACAAGTCGACCCCCCTATAACACTGTTGATAATTCAGTTTTATATGAATTCCATGTTGTACGAGTCACTTAGATTTTACAAATATGTGTGCCGGGTTGTGAACGGCTCACGTATTTGTAAAATCTANCAAAAATAAAGTAATATTTGGTGACAATATGTAACATGATTAATAAAAATTATTAAATTGGACCCAGGGCCTTTCGGGTCTCACACTTTATAATGCGAATAGTGATTGAGACTTGAGATGATGGATAAGGAAACGCAAAGTAAGGATGGAGGAGTGACTCCGGAAGTACTTTCTGTAAAAATTGATCTCTATTCGGGTGTTACAAATGTGAAGAAAAACTAGAAAACTCCCTGTGGTCACTTCGTAGATCAGGCGCGAACTAGTGATGTTATTAACTCGTTACTGATGAGCTCTGTCTGTGTCACTCAGTTCCTTGGGGATTGAAGTTAATTCGATCAAAAGTACTCGTTGATAAGTGTTTCTGAAAAGTTTATATATCAAATATTAAATATAGAATTAGATATATAGTATAAATTGCAACAAATCACGAAACTTCAGTTCTTAATTTGAAATTTGAATCTATTTAAATATCAAAAGTGAATTAAGTAACAATAAAATAAAATAATTGGAGTTTTATTTACACCACATAAAAAATTAATTCAAAAAAAATTAATAATTGTTATTAACGAATGTAGGTTATGTATATAATTCACGAGACTCTTTCTAGCAATCAACATTTTTAGAATAAACATAAACAGCTTTTCTGTCATATACATGAAATAATAATATACAGCCACTTTACTATATTAGCTTTGTGGTTAGGTCAGCATCGTTTTGAAAAACAAAACAGAACTAAATAGAAATTCTCTCACATACACTCAACGCTGTTATATATATATAAAGTTTATATATACATATAAAATTTCAATTTAAATGACATCTTCCGTCATTCCGAATCTGCTGGTGCAAGAGTAGCTTTACATTCCAAAGATCAAATAGTTAATCCTTTCATAAATGGTTTTTTAATAGAACCAGGAAAGAAATATATTATTCAATTAAAGGCTGTGAGTCCCTTTGTCATCCTCTCTTATCCTAAATTGCTATGTCTAATCTTGAATATAAATTTATATTCAGATAGAACACAATTTATTGCCATCTCCCTACAGTACCAATTGTACAAAATACGAAGAAATGGATAAAAATTCATTTAATGAAACAATCAACCAAGATGTAAGTAATAAATTTTTAACCTCAAACATAAAACAATTAGAGATTTCCTGGGGTTAATAAAATATTGAAAGGGGTCGATGATAAAATGGGATTAAAATAATTATTAATTTATTAATTATTTTTCGTTACAGCGCTGTATAATTGAGTGTATAAAAGAAAACTGGAAAAAGACATGCGAATGTATAAGCAATAGTTATCCTTTTCGTTTCGAAGGGGAATTCTGTTCATCAGTAGGTAATGACGAAAAATGTTTATTTGTATCCATTATAACGATAAGATTCTATTGAATATAAATAATAAAATAATTTATTTATTAATACAGATTGCATTCAGAAAGTAAATAACGATGAATGTTATCAGAAATGTCGCAGAAGTTGTCGGTAAATATACCTTTAACTTTATTAATTTGGAATAAATACTACTTAATATTTATAAATATAATAATATTTTCTCCTGATATTTCTTATTAAATTAGCTAATTTGCATTTATCTATATTATTATATTCAGTTTTACAGTTTTCGAATATGATATTAATGAATTTTCAAATGACTTTTACTATGTAAGTAATTTCTCAATGTATAAATTTAAAATTTAAAAAGTTTTGGAAATTTTAATCATTGTTTATTACAGTTTTTATATCCGAAAAATCTAGGAAAAGAATATTATGATATTCCTTACAGGTTTGAATCTATTTTTATTCTTTCCTAAACAAAATTATTATATTAAAAACAGTAAAATATTATAAATTTACAATATTTTATAACAGTAAATGGTTAACTGAAATGACTTTTCTGTATAAGAGATTGGAACTTCATACATATAGATATAAAGCACAATATGAGGTAAGTAGTATAATCATCAACTTTCTTTTATTTATAATTTACATTATTATACGAATATAAATATTTAATACGTAAAATATTTTCTAATTTTAGATGATTGAATTGTTTGGTTACGTTGGTGGATACATTGGAGTCTGGCTTGGAATATCCCTAATTGCAGTTTTCGACCTTCTAGAAATAATAATTGTCTACATATATAATAAACTTTACGTAGATATTACTGTCAAGACCGAAGAAAAATCAAATTCTTCTTCTAAGCAAGTTACTAAATTTTAATAAAACGATTTAACAATACATTATTTTTCCTTTAAATTTATGAAAGTAAAAAATAAAATTATAAACAAATACAGCTTTAAAGAATAGAAGATATACACTGTGAAAACACTATACACGTTACAAATATAATGTATAGTACTTATGTAAATGGTTATAATGTAATTAATGGTAGTTTCTAACTGTACATCTTTTATAATTGAATTATTAAGATGTAAAAGGTGTTAACCACTCGAATCCACTTCTGGAGAGGCAAAATTTCAGAGTACTTTAACTAACTTTACATTCCTTCTAAGAGATTGTAATTATTTCACAAGGTAAAGCAACTTATCGGTGAGATAACAACTCGAAAAATGGGTTATCACCTTTTACATTTGAACCATTCAGTTGTATAATTAATAATTTATTTAACTCGAAATATTGGAAAATTTATGTCACTGAATAAAATAATTTGATAATAATTAAGTAAAGTATATTTTTACTATCATTTTTAAACAATCTTTTCGCAAGGTGATTTGATTTTAAGCAATAATATATTTGACGGTATTGAGGATGATTTGTTGTTTAATGTGAGCGATGTATTACTTTTGTGAGAGTAGCCAAGGGTATAAGTAAATTATCTATATCACTTACTGGCGCACGATCGTGTGATCGGCTCTCTAAAGTTTTTATAGAAGGACGATAAATACGCGAAGCCGATCTAGACTGCGAGGTCCAGATCTACGTCAGGATTCCTTGACACCAGTTTGTCAATTAAATTCCGCGGACAAACACGCGTGTGAGATCTGTTTCGAACACAAAATCAAGGGACATTTAATTTTAAACGAATAATAAATTTAATAAAACAAGAAGATAAATCATACAAAGATCTCAATGAACGAGAGATAGAATTACCACAAACAACATACACATCGAGAGATAGCTATACTTATCTTCTACACTATTCGCGATCGAGAGAGAGAGCTCACAAAATCGTTATAAAACATACAACCTGATTCAGTGGTCGTTCGTCTTCTTCTCTGTAGGCAAGGGACACCTTGTAGATAAAGTTCATTTACTTCTTCGGATGGGAGATCAATATGTGCACAAAACCAAAGTATATTTTCTAAACGCAGACTCCGGACTTATTCTAAGTGACTCGTCTAAGGGCGTTGGTCATCAGGAGGAAAACTGTGTGGAGTTTGGACGCTTTCAGAACTGTCGCTGAACTCCTCGAATTCGGACTAATTTCCCTTATATCTCCTGAATTACGACCAATCATCTGCTTGAAATTCGTTCATGTGTGCGGATGAAAAGGGGAGCGAATGAGGGGTAACCATTTCCCATCTGAGCGGGATTTTAACCAGATAAGGGAAAGTCAGAGGATGTTCTCTTCTGTGAAAGGAAGTAACATCTGTTATCTGGGTTTTTCCCACGTTAAAACAGTATTTTTCTCACCAAAAATAAAGCAATATTTGGTGACAATATGTAACATGATTAATAAAAATTATTAAATTGGACCCAGGGCCTTTCGGGTCTCACACTTTATAATGCGAATAGTGATTGAGACTTGAGATGATGGATAAGGAAACGCAAAGTAAGGATGGAGGAGTGACTCCGGAAGTACTTTCTGTAAAAATTGATCTCTATTCGGGTGTTACAAATGTGAAGAAAAACTAGAAAACTCCCTGTGGTCACTTCGTAGATCAGGCGCGAACTAGTGATGTTATTAACTCGTTACTGATGAGCTCTGTCTGTGTCACTCAGTTCCTTGGGGATTGAAGTTAATTCGATCAAAAGTACTCGTTGATAAGTGTTTCTGAAAAGTTTATATATCAAATATTAAATATAGAATTAGATATATAGTATAAATTGCAACAAATCACGAAACTTCAGTTCTTAATTTGAAATTTGAATCTATTTAAATATCAAAAGTGAATTAAGTAACAATAAAATAAAATAATTGGAGTTTTATTTACACCACATAAAAAATTAATTCAAAAAAAATTAATAATTGTTATTAACGAATGTAGGTTATGTATATAATTCACGAGACTCTTTCTAGCAATCAACATTTTTAGAATAAACATAAACAGCTTTTCTGTCATATACATGAAATAATAATATACAGCCACTTTACTATATTAGCTTTGTGGTTAGGTCAGCATCGTTTTGAAAAACAAAACAGAACTAAATAGAAATTCTCTCACATACACTCAACGCTGTTATATATATATAAAGTTTATATATACATATATATATATAAACTGAACACCTTAAATAAGTTACTACAATTCTAGGTGCCATGGTTCAGAGCATTGGCCTGACCATGGCAAACAAAATTAAAAAAACCCGAGTAAATATTCTGACCATTGCAACTAAAATAATAGAGTATTATAGATTATACCTTACATAGATCTATTTCTATTTCTATAATTATTTTCCTGGCTGTTATAAGTTATATAACAGAGGCGATCAGTCAAAAAAATAAACCCATCTACAGTAGATTTTTATTTGAATATTTTTTAATTATTACGTATTGCATAATGTACCTTAAGCTAATGCAATGGGAAAAGCTGATTAAGATCGTAGGATTGTCGAGAATTTTGGAACAAGACCGGAAGTTGTATTGAAAATCTATAAGTATAGCTTCTGGTCACTCGTAATTTTATTATAAAACTTATAGTATTGTAATTCGCCATTTTTCTTATTGTTAAAAATATTAATGATCATAATTTAACTCATAAACTCAAAATTATAGTCTCTTCAGTATTACTTCATACGAAATGTGAATAAAATCATTTCGTATCCTTCCCTGTTCTTATTATTATCCATCTCCCACCGCAGTCTACTACAGGAAAAGGGAACGTGACAAAATCTGTAGTAATATGGCAAGAAAACAACGTCAAATACTCCACAGATTTTTCATAATACGCACTGATATTCGTGCAGTGTTTATTACTATATGAGTCGTAAACGTAATGAAAGTCGTAATTACGTTTAAGCATCACATTCGGATTCAGTAAACAGCGTGTACTAAAACTTAAATGCTTGCCTTGGTTTGAAAGTATAAGGCGCAACACAAGAGTTACTACAAGGATAGTGTCTTCCAGGAGAACTTTCTGTGGATCAATGACCTCTATTTACATTTGACCTTTATAAATTCAATGGCCCGTGATATCCTTTACGGCCTCAAAACAAAGGAGATAATCGTAAATTTAACTTATGATTGTTTTAGAGTAATTTTTACGGAGAATAACATACGTTAATTTAAATGCTAAATCAAGAAGTTCGATAATCCAGTGTTACTTATATAAAACATTTTTTGTCTTAGTTTTTATCCATGTTTATATGGGATCAAAATTCCCATCATTAAACTGTTTTCTTCATTTCTCTCTATCTAGGGCCTTCTCTCTTCTCGATCCCCTCTCTCCTCCATTCTCTCTCTCCCAAATTCTCTGTCACCTTGTCTCTCCATTTTAGCTTCGGTCTTCCCCGCTTCCTCCTTCCTATCACTTCCAACTTCCCAATCCTCTTTTTCAAATAGATCTCACTTCACTCCACAAAGTGCAAACTATCAGAATGTACTTTCTTGCATCATCCTATTTATACGACCTACCTTCATTACATAATCATTCCTAATTCTGTCCTTCGTCACACCACATATCCAAATCCGCTGTCTCTAATCTTCTTTTCCTCTAATCCTATACATTATTGCAGTTCTTACAGAAGTTTTGTATAATTTTCCTTTCATTTTTCGGCTTACTTTCTTACATATATAAATTTATTTATACATGTTTATAAATTAATCTAATACGTTGGATTTTGGAAAGCAGTGTTCGTGTTATGTGACAGTGTCGTTTACGGTAAAGAAGCGTGATATGTAAATAATTGGATGCGACGAACAAACTAGATAATGGTTCAATTGTGAATATCACCATGAGGGATGTTTGTAAGGATGTGTTGTAATGAAACTGATGAAACCCTCCAATTTTCAAACAATGAAATTCATGCTACTTTTTCTTCGCTCTTAATACAGTGGAGATTGGGTCATAAACCAAAGACTTCAATGTCCTTCTATCTTTTCATCACTTCTCTTCAAACACCATTGTTACATCGTCAGCCCTTTTCTTAGCTCTTTATCGATTTTGTTCATTCACCTCTTTCTGGGTCTAAAATTCGTGTTGTTTGATGGACTAATACTTACCTGGCGACGAGGGACAGCGTATTGCACTTCAATCTTGGTACAATTTATTTGTTGCTAAATATAAAACAATCCTGTAATAATAAGTGTCATATCAATTGCGTAACTATATTAACAATCCTTGGATTTGAGTTCCACGCGTGTTCCCGGGCACTCAACAATGCAATAATCCTTATTGTTTCTGTAATAATAGTATCAAAACAATTCTCGAACTAATTATTATATTGTGAAGTAAATTATATAAATTATTAATTTTATTCATTGTTTCAAAATTACTATATTTTAATACAGTAAGGGTAGAGATATAAAGGAGTCATACACCACGTCTGAAGAAAGGTCGTGCTTAATGTAGATTTTACTCGTTATTAGCATTTAGCATTATAATTTTATTACTTAATAATTAACGATTTAATTTTTATTTTAATAAATTTCAAAATTTTAACAATAGATGGCAACAGAAGTTACCAAGTAATTTCTCCAATAATTTACTGGTTGTATCGATTTTTTTTTAATATAATAATAAAATAATATCTTTTTAATATTAAATTTTATCTTATACACTGCCTCGATTACTTAATTAAAAAATACAGCTAATGCTACTTATAAAAAAATAATATTAAATGACATTTAAACCAAAATTAAAGCGAACAATAGATACAAAAGATAATAATGCCACATAAAATATATGAAATACTTAGTATAGATTAAAATTTTGTTTATTTCTTCAGATTTTTCATCTTAATAATGGGGGAACCACATTGTGCAGTATCCCCAGCGTGGCTATGGTTTCTCTATATCATTAGTGTCTTCTATAAATAAAGTGTTTCTAGCTTGTAGTATTTACTACTTCAGTGACGTTTTGCTAACGTATCTCCGAGCTCATCAATTGTCAGATCCTGACTATGTGAATCTAATACCTTGTTGACCACCATTGACTTCCAAATCCAATTGTCTGGCAACATTAACAACTTCTATTACATGAGCAACACGATTAGTTTCTGGCATTGTTTGTCCACTTTTTTTCAAAAATGAAATGGAAAGTTGTTTAGATACCATTCAATGGAAAATCTTGGGATGAATGTAGTTAGTCTTGTATGTTTTGTTGATTCTCTGGTCCATTGCTGAAGCAAGCTGGTTGTGTTTGGAGGCAAAAACACAACTTTCACACGTGGGTCGAAATCAAATAGGGTATCAGGAGGATCTTTACTGCCCAGGCAATTAACATCTTAAGTTGTATCTATATC